AGAAAGCAATAGCCCCCGACTCTGGAGTCTATGGCTATTCATTTCCGTGACCTAATAGGAGGAAGTAACCTGGGTAATTGGTAGAAAAAGATATGGCCATATTCAACAGTATCTGGGGCTGAGCTACAACTAGTCATTCTCGAAGGTTTGTTTAGACCACCAGGTCTTCAGGCTCTTACGAAAGGAGGAAGGGCATTCCAGAGGCAGGGAGCCACCACCGAGAAGGCCCTCTCTCTCGTTCCCACCAACCATGCTTGTGACAGTGGTGGGAGCAAAAGGAGGGCCTCCCCGGAAGATCTTCAAGTTCGTGCCAGTTCATAGAGGGAGATGCAATTGCAAAGATAGGTGGGGCCCAAACCGTTAACTCCTGAAAGAGTTATCATGGGGAAAAGGAGTCTCCACTGCAGCTTTCTCACCAATCCTTTCCCCACAACAAGCCTAATTTGTCAAAACCCAACGATCACAGGTAGGCTTGGACCCGAATCAGTTTGAACAAAAATGATTTGTAATATCCGGTGGTCTGTCTCATATAATCTCCAAGAACAGAATGGGGAGGAGAGAGCCAAAAAGTCCCGCAATATGATTAAGAGAGCCAGATTGTAGTAGCTATTGGAGAGGATAGAATTAAGTCCGCAATATACCTGAGGCAGGGGCTGCTCTGGGCCTCCTGAAGAAGGTGGGATTATTGCAGCATCTTTTTCTCCCTCCCCAGCAGCAGCAACATCCATCCATTTCTTTTTGGAAAGTTTCCTAGGCTCCTCCTCCTCCAGAGAGGGCCCAGCTGAGAACTCTCTTTCCCAGCAGCACTTGCATGGGGCAGGCATTGAAAAGTCTCTGGCTTCCACTTGGAGCATAATGGGAGTTGAAGTTTTCATCTCACTCTCTGTTTCTCAGCCAGTAAAAAGCCTGGTTATGTCAATCCTCCGACTGGCTGAGAATGGACACAAACCCACAACTACAATTCCCAGAACCCTCTCTTGCAGTTTGTCCTATTTTGAAAAAATGTTATGGTAAAAATGTAAAATAATTCTAAAAAATCTGTAGATTGGTCAATTGTTTTGAAACTTGGTAGGCCTGCAGTTGTAAATGGGGTCTAAAACTGAGGTAGGTTTCAAGCAGATAGGCCTTAAAATGGCTGAGGATTGAGCCTTTAAAGTTTCCAATTTTAAAGTGTTAAAATGCTAAATGCTAACTTTATTTGTTATGTTCATTTCCTCAATTTCTAATATTAGTCAGTAACCAAGCTAGCATTATCCTCATCTTTGTGTTCCATCAAGGCATGGCGACATTTAATTGATAAAAGTTCATTGTTTCCGTCTATGTTCAATGATGAGAGCTTCTGGTTTGGTAAAACTTGGAATTCATTCATAACAACAACAACAACAACAACAACAAATTTGTTATTTCTTACCCATCTCTCCTCACGACTTATTTTATCCAGGGACAGATGATGGCTCCCATGTCAGTGAATCTGTTCCAAGTGTTGATCTGAATTTTAAGAGCTGTCTGAGGTGCTGAACAGCTTCCCTAAAATTGACTTACTTTATAAATATATGCTAAAATCCTGGAAAGATTTATTATCCATGTAGCGAAATTGCTACTCTATGTTAAATATTTGGTGTATAGCTCTATGTTTACATATGGCAGATAGGGAAGAATAGGCCCAGACAGGGTAGCAACAGCAAAGATAGGATTCATTTGCATATGGAAGCCGATTGGTCATATGCAAATTAGTGTAGGCCCAGGATTTGAAAGGGTTGCTAGGCCAAAATGACAGTTGGGGAGAGCCGAGCTAAACATTCCAAAGGGGTGGAGCCAAAGTTTAAAAATAGGCAGTTAGAGAGTTAGGAATTGCTGTTTGTGAGGTACAGTTAGTGAGTTAGGAATTGCTGTTTGTGAGGTACAGTTAGAAAGTTAGGGATTCCTGTTTGTGAGAGACAGTTAGGAACTTCTGTGAGAGAAAAGAGTTAGGAACTCCTGTTAGAAATAAGCAGTAATGAAGATGTGTTAGAGACTTCTGATATATAGAAGCAGTTAGTTAAATAGATCTCAAGTTTTAGGAACATAAAGAAAGCCAGTGGTGTTTTAGTCAGAACATAATTTCAGTCAAGAGTGTGTAAAGCAAGTAACATGTTTGTGAATGAGAAACATTGAAAGTCTATTTCAGAAAAGTAAACCAAGTATATTATACTGACTGTAAGCCCCAAGATTGCAACAAAACACAAATGTAACCACAAGCATTTGGAGCCTGAAGTTATAAATAAACTGTGTTACTTTGTTATACAGAAGTGTGTCTCAGTGCCTGTACAAAAGTTATACAGCACACAGAAAGTCCCAGCAAATATAAAGGAAACTGAATCCTTATAAGAGTAAAGAGGTTTTTTTTTCTTAAATAAAGAAATAGTCTCTCTCCCTCACTACAAGCCACTTACCTGGGAGCCACAAGCTTCTAAATACTTCAGCAGAGCTGTTGTAGATGTGACTTCAACTTCTGTCCTCTAAATCAGAAATAGGTATTTGATAACTTTGCTGTAGGTGGTGCTGGTTGTCAGATGCAATTCTTTGGTGAGATACAACACTTGCTATGTATTTCCCTGCCATGTACCTATTAAAACCACAATGGGCCAACTTTTGGCCATTCAGATGATGTCTTCAAACATTTGCTGTGTTGGCCAGGGCTGTTGGGAAGTGGTCTAAAAATGGCCAGAGGGACTTCAGTTGCCCATCTTGGCATTAAATCACCATCCAGCGAAGTTAACGTGATTATGTCCTATTGAAATCAACGGAAAGGAGTTAAATTCAGCTCTGTTTACATATTCAGTAGCTCCATGTGATTATCTAAAATCATGTTGGGCTACTGGCAACTTGTGATGCAGATTCAATTGAGGCACCAAGTGCATGGACTGGTGGAATAACAACGTGGAAGCTATGGGATGTAAACTGAATTATTTAAAACAAGACTAGTGCATTCATGTAGACTGTATCAGCTATGTTCCTACCTTCAGAAGAGGCAGAATGTTCATACAATCAACAATTCCAGCCTAACTGCAAAACACAGCATATTCTTTAACAGGGATGAGAATCATTATACAGGTCTCTAGTTATTAGTGATATGCCATTCCCCTAAACCAGGGGTCCTCAAACTAAGGCCCAGGGGCCGGATACGGCCCTCCAAGGTCATTTACCCGGCCCTTGGTCTGGGTCAACTTGAATCTGAAACGACCTGAAAGCACACCACAACAACAATCCTCTCTCATCAGCTAAAAGCAGGCCCACACTTGCCATTGAAATACTAATATGTTTATATTTGTTATATTTGTTCCTCATTTTAATTATGGTATTGTTTTAAAGTGTTTTTTGCACTACAAATAAGATATGTGCAGCGTACATAGGAATTCATTTATGTTATTTTCAAATTATAATCTGGCCCTCCAACAGTTTGAAGGAATGTGATCTGGCCCTCTGTTTAAAAAGGTTGAGGACCCTTGCCCTAAACCCTAGCTAGCATGACCAATGGTATGAATGCTGGGAACTGTAGTCCAATAACACTGTTCAACGGAGAAAAAGTTGCGGGCCTGAAAATAGTTGTTCTTTTATGATTTTGGGGTGCTGAAAACGAAAATGACATTTAAAAATGTATATTGGCTCTAGTTTTTATGATATAAGCAATCACGTGATCACGTATGGTTGAAAAAATGCATGTTGCGACTTACACTATGGAAGATTCTAGAATATTCTAGAAAGTTTGATGACGCAGTATTAGTGCCGTGTGCAAAAGCCAGAAAGCCCTATATAAGGCCAGACTTTTGACCAGTGAGGGTCAGTCAGTTGAAGACTGAGACAGTATCGTTAAACATCGTTTTACATTGTTCTTTTTACTGTAGTTATGCCTCGCACGTGTGTAAATAAAGCACTATGGAAAAAAGATATCAAGGCCAATGGACTCCGTCAATGCTGTCAGACTCCTGCTGGAGCATTGTAAGAGACAATCCTTTCCTTGAATACAAAAGAAAAGTCAAGAGAAGCAAACAGGATATAAACTAAAGTCACGATTAAAGCGACATTTAAACTTTCAGACTTTTAAATAGCTGTTGCATAAAAACCAGAGCCAATTAACACATTTAATTATTATATTTGAATTCAGCATGTTAAATTTATTAAGAAACGGCACATTTCGTTTCCGAAACTGAGAAAAACTGAAAATTTGTAGAACAGTGTAATATTAGGATTTCCACCTGAGTTTTATGGTTCTAATAGTACAAGCTGTGTGTATCAACCCATTCCATGTTTTCCATAGCTCACAAAAGTTTTACAAAATTATTAAGATGTAAGGTGTTTTGAATTCAGCGGGACCCATTTTTGAGTGGACACTTATAGAACTGAAGTAACTTGCTGGGTAGTACAAACACACACACACAGCTTTCAGAAGTTGAGTTTCATGTTTTAACCATCTCCCAGCCATTAAGCTTGGCAACTCCTGCTTTATATTAGGCATTATATTGGAATAAGAAGAAATCAATTGTATTCTATCAGTTGGTCCTTCCTTCTTCTTGAGAAGTTTCTGGACTAGATGTGTTCCTTGGAGCTGATAACTAAATTACTGAAATTCAACACAATGATTCAAAATTGTATTAGCCATGAGAATTTGTTCACATTCCTGGCCAGATCACCCTTGCTACCACTATGACAAACTGAGCCACATAGGATGAGAAGGTAATAGTATTCTCTAAACTTAGAGGGTTGCTGTTCTACATTCCGATATAATACGTTGGCATGCTGCATTTTCTCATAAGGCATATTAGAGCAACCAGCTTGTTACATTCAGTGTCTGTTTTTTGTTGGTTTCCTTGTAAGTGCCATCACATGTCCTTGAGATCTGAGTTCTGTTGTTTTATTGTCTGGAGTCACAGCTTCACTCACCTCTGCTTTCCCCTCCTCACCCTCACCCCCACCCCTTCCTCCTTGCCTTTTGTTTTGTTAACCCGTCCTTGTCTGTCCAGGGTGCTTCAGGTTTAGACGGCAGGCCTGGCCCACCGGTGAGTTCCAGTTCTCCATTACCCTTTGTTCCTATCCCCTAATGCTGTGATTTGTCTTCTTTGTCTTGCCACAATCGTATCTGTATCATTGTCTTTCCAGAGTGCTAGGATAGGACAAGTGAAGTTAATGCACATTCATATGAATTCATGAATTTAGACATAAAGATTATCTGTCTCCTGGTTTTTGCAATATTTTCTAGGTTGTGGTCAATGAAACATTTCCATGTGGTCATTACTAATGTCACGTACCTCTGTCCTCATATTGTCAACTGTCTGCCGTTGTTGTTCCTCTCGCTATATAAAGTTTGCACAAAGTATTGCTTCACACTAGTCTCAGCCATTGTATGTGGCAGCAAGAGACACTCTGCATTTTTATCCAAGCAAATTTAAGCTACGAGGGGTATTTTTTAAGTAAGGTCCGTTGGAACGTAACTACACAACGAAAGTCTATTTCAAAAAAGTAAATTTATTTTCAGAAAGTACATACTTCACTCTATTTTTTGACATAGTTGCCAAGTTTGTTCAAACACTTATCATACCTCTGAACCAATTTTAAAATACCCTCTTCATAAAAACTTGCCGCCTGTAATCAAAGAAGGGCGACCGGAGTGGTCCTCATCATGGACGTTGTCACGGCCATCTTTGAATTGTCGTACCCACTTACGCACTTTGCTTTCACTCATAACAGTATCACCTTACACTTCACAAATCTGTCAATGAATTTCTGCAGCAGGCAGGTTCCTTGCTGACAAAAACCGTATCACTGAGCGAAGCTCACATGCGGAGGGTGAGTTGATATTCTTAAACATTTTTAAAGCACAGAACAGAACCGTACAGGTTAGCTACAGAGCGGAAACTGAGCACAGTTTTTCCCGAGGCATGCCGGTACACGATGCACGCACTCATTGCGGTATGAGCGCGAACTACTAGTGTCTACAACAAAACAGACCTTACTTAAAAAATACCCCTCGTATTTATTTATTTAAAACTTTTATATAGCGTTCTTCTCTGACCTCCATAGAGGTTAAAGAAGTTGTAGTTGGTTTCTTGTCCTGGGGCTTTCTACACTGATTTTAAAAAAATGTACTCACCTTGTAGCCACTGCGACACACAACTTTATGGGCAATTTATTTAGAATGTGGTTCTTCGAGCTTTAATGTGATTCAACAAACCTTGTCTTGTACTCCAGTTTTCCAGAAAATCCAGATTTTTTAACTCTTATTTTATTATTATTATTATTATTATTATTATTATTATTATTATTATTTGTTGTGTGGCTGGCCCTCTGAGGCTGCATTACATTACTGGAAAGTGAGGGGGAAGGAGTCAGGGGTGGGTGGAACAGGTTGGTGTGAGGTAATCTAGGCCAAATCTGATTCATTTGGAGAGTGGAGGATGTGGATTGTTGGGAAAGGGATGGAAAATCTGACAGCAGAAGTTTTAAATGTGACAGCAGAAGGAGAGTGGGAAGGAATGCATTATTGGAAAAGGGATTTAAGAAGCAGGAGAAAGAGAGAGTGTTTGTGGTAGGAAGATAGGAAATGGAGTGGAGGCAGGCACATTGGGCAAGTCATGTAAAGACAGGTGGAGAGGTGGCAGAAGAAATGGAGCGAGAAAGCCAAGCTAGTTAAGCAGCACCTACAAGTTCAGTGCACCCCTGCATAACAGAAAATATGTATATTTGCATGCATTCTGGATACCAGGGGGAGGGTGGAGTAGCCACAGCCTAGTGGATGAAAATACAAAGGGGTATTTTTTAAGTAAGGTCCGTTTGAACATAAGTACACAACGAAAGTTTATTTCAAAAAAGTAAATTTATTTTCAGAAAGAACATACTTCACTCTATTTTTCGACATAGTTGCCAAGTTTGTTCAAACACTTATCATACCTCTGAACCAATTTTAAAATACCCTCTTCACGAATCCTCACTTCAGCTGAAGCCACCAAATAGTCTGTAATCAAAGAAGGGCGAGCGGAGTGGTCCTCATCATGGACGTTGTCACGGCCATCTTTGAATTGTCGTACCCACTTACGCACTTTGCTTTCACTCATAACAGTATCACCTTACACTTCACAAATCTGTTGATAAATTTCTGCAGCAGGCAGGTTCCTTGCTAACAAAAATCTTATCACTGAGCGAACCTCACATGCGGAGGGTGAGTTGATAGTCTTAAACATTTTTAAAGCACAGAACAGAACCGTACAGGTTAGCTACAGAGCGGAAACTGAGCACAGTTTTTCCTGAGGCATGCCGGTACACGACGCACGCGCTCGTTGCGGTATGCGCGCGAACTACTAGTGTCTACAACAAAACGGACCTTACTTAAAAAATACCCCTCGTAATATGAAGAATTGGAGAATGTTGACTGTCTCTTTACATCAAGGTGAGTCAACTGGGGAAAATGTCTGACCGGTTATAGCAATCTCACCACATGTGTGAGGCATTAACGAAGTAAAGGTGAGCTGGAGAAATGCAGTGTGAAAACATTTTTTGGTCAATGTAGACAAGCCCCTGATCTCCCTATAATCTGAGATGATCTCCTCACACAAGAGACCTGAACAAAAAACCTGCTGCTATTTTGTGAACCACATCATGGCACATAATGTCAATGTTGGCTTTTATGTCTACATCCGTTATTTTCTTTACAGTAGTGATTTTCAGTCTGTTATTCCCATGAGTAAGGATCAGGGGATTATTTAGTGTACATTTCCCTATGAAATATTCATTTTCACATTGTGAGAACTGAAGTTGGAGCAAATTTATCTAGGCTCGGGGATTCATACATTTCTGTCGTGTGCAATGGATTTTGGCAAAGAAAAAGTGTACATTTTTGAGTAGTTTTGACAAGTGTGCATCGTTAAAATTGCATACATTTAGAAAATTCACACAAGCAAACTTTAGTCAATAAGAAAATGCAGTAATAATAATAATAACAACAACAACAACACTTTATTTGTACCCCACTACCATCTCCCCAAGGGACTTGGTGCGGCTTACATGAGGCCGAGCCCAAACACAATACAAGCAATAATAACAACAATACAAGCAATTAAAAAACATAGACAATAAAATACACAACATTATTAGTAAGACAACACGCAATTAAAAACAGTGGGAAGGCCAAATGTAGAKTTAAAATTGGAAATAATGCTGGGACATGGACGAAAGGTGATACTGGTGTTTGTGGAAGGGCATAYGAGCAGACYTAAMRAWATGTAAAGTGCTTTGGAGGACAAAGTGCTATGGGATCATTATTCCRGGAAGGCACACTGGAACARCCAYGTCTTCAAGYTCCTCCTRAAGACTGCCARRGTTGGRKCCTRTCTGATGTCTTTAGGGARTGAGTTCCAGAGTCRAGGGGCCACCACCGAAAAGGCCCTCTCTCTCGTCCCCACCAACCGCGCCTGCGATGCTGGTGGGATCGAGAGCAGGGCCTCTCCGGATGATTGAAGGGATCGTGTGGGTTCATATACAGAGATGCGGTCACGCASGTAGGTGGGTCCCAAACAGTTCAGGGCTTTGTAGGTAAGAACCTGCACCTTGAATTGGGTCCGGTAGATGAATGGCAGCCACTGGAGCACCTTAAACAGGAGGGATGACCGCTCCCTGTAGGGAGCCCCAGTTAACAACCTGGCTGCCGCCTGTTGGATCATCTCAAATTTCCGGGCCGTTTTCAAGGGCAGCCCCACGTAGAGTGCATTGCAGTAATCCAGTCTAGTTACTAAACGAGATACTAAAATATACACAAATTTTCATACAGAACAAAAAGAGTTAAACACAAAAGTCAATGGATTTTTGAGAAACACAATGAAAATGAAACTGACAGATTTTCACACCGCTCTTTGCCTCAATGTCTTTTGCTTTTCATATTTGTTAGGTAAATGGAAATGGAAATAACATCAGACTTGTACAGAGCTTGGTGAAATGTGTACTCTGGGGGTGGGGGAGTTAATTTCAAAAGGCAAAATAAAAGTTGGATAATTGCATACAACTACAGTAGAGTCTCAATTATCCAACATAAACGGGCCGGCGGAACGCTGGAAAAGCGAAAATGTTGGATAGTATGGAGGAAATTACATTATGATTTTACAAATTAGGCACCAAAATTTCATGTTTTACAACAAATCAACAGAAAAGGCTGCTCAATACATGGTAACGTTATGTATTAATTACTGTATTTACGAATTTAGCACCACTACATCACAATGTATTGAAACATCTGTGGATCTGGGCGGGAGGCAGACTGTGTTGCATAATACAGAATGTTGGATGAGCGGTTGGATAAGTGAGCCTCTATTGTATTTCAAACTTCTTGGATGAAAAACACTTTCTTCCATTCAATCTTCATGTTATATTGCATAGCCCCCATCACTTTTTTTTTTGGTCGTGTCAGGAGCGACTTGAGAAATTGCAAGTCGCTTCTGGTGTGAGAGAATTGACCGTCTGCAAGGACGTTGCCCAGGGAACGCCCAGATGATTTGATGTTTTATCATCCTAGTGGGAGGCTTCTCTCATGTCCCCGCATGAGGAGCTGAAGCTGATAGAGGGAGTTCATCCACCTCTCTCCAGATTCAAACCTGTGACCTGTCGGTCTTCAGTCCTGCTGGCACAGGGGTTTAACCCACTGCGCCACCGGGGGCTCCTAGCCCCCATAACCGATGACTGGGAAATCACAAAGGTTTCCAGTTATACATTTTCCTCTCCTCCATTGAAACCATGAACATGTTCATTTACACACAGATATAAAGAGCCTGACTTGGGGACAGAAGGGATGGGTTGATGATCTCCTTGCCAATTTGTAGTCCTAAATGACTGAGGAAGTGGATTGGCTTCTTCATGTTTTTTAAGTAACTGAGCTTTTGGTGAATTGTTTATCTGGCCCAAACATGCAGGCCTCCAATTTTGGTTACTTTAAGCAAAATGGATGGTAGTTAGACATTATAGCATCCTGACCTACTACTTAGGCTGTGGTCTAGAGCATCTGGTGAGGTTTTGGGCGTATAAATTTAAACGTAACGAAGCAAAGAATGAAAGTCATTGTGGATTAGGAGAACAGATGTTCTGACAAATCCTTAAGGCAATTTTACTAGAAGGGGTGGCCTATGGATTGCAATAAAATTCCAGGAAAGAAACAGTTGTAATCTATGGGCACAAATGTGATGCCAGTCTGTTGCACTTTGGAAAAGAAATTCTGCTGGTCCACCACATTAAATAGCTTAATAAGCGCTACTTTTAAAGGACCTTGGGAAGAGACATGTCCATCTGTGGCTCTGATGAACTTCCCTCAAGCCAAGGTTACAGAAGGAATTGAGCAATGGATTATGCTCAAGTAGGGTCATATCTTCAACCATCACCTGAAATTTTTTTATACGTCTTCGCTGCCTGGCAGGCAGGTTGTGTAAGGCCTGGATCTATTTCCCTACACTAAATTCCTACAGCTATAACCAATAATGTTTTTTTAGATCCCACATTTGTGTTTTCCATCTTCCTGTCCTAGTTAGATGATATATAAATGGCCAAAGAGTGAATAAAAGACTTGAAAATTAATATGTCTTTGTGTTTTCTGCTGTGAAAATGCAGATTTACTGTATATACTCGAGTATAAGCCTAGTTTTTCAGCCCCTTTTTTAGGCTGAAAAAAATCCCCTCGACTTATACTCGAGTCAATGTTATTTATTATTTTACTCTGTTATTAGTATTATTTTTATTACATTTATTTTTTACTCTATTATTATTATATTATTTTACTCTATTATTACTTTTATTACATTTATTATTTTACTCTATTATTATTACATTTACATTATTTTGCTGTATTATTATATTTATTGCATTTATTATTTTACTCTTATTGTTATTATTACATTTATTACTTTATTATCACTATTGTTATTAAATTTCCATTATTTATTTTTATTACATGTTATTACATTTATTATTTTATTCTATCATTATAGTAATAGGTAAGCACATTTACATTGAAGGTTAGAATAATGGTTGAATCAGAGTTGGGCAGTCTTATCTTAAATTACAGTTTTGTGTAAATACTCAAAAACATTTAACCTACTGACGATTACCAGTAGCAGCTACATTTCTCAACCTTGGCTTATACTCAAGTCAATACATTTTTCCAGTTTTTTGTGGTAAAATTAGGTCCCTCGGCTTAAATTCGCATCGGCTTATACTCGAGTATATACGGTACTTTATTGTTCTGTAGTATGGTTATATATCAATCTACATTATTAACACTATGCATAAAAAACAATGCAAACTTCATCTGTTTTCTACCACACACAACCTTTTAAAGAGCCTACAGTATGATGATCATACACTGCCATCATATCTTTAATTTTTAGCTTTGTTGTGGTTGAAACTGAAAATGATGTAGTATTTCATTGAATGCTCAAAGATTCTCTCTTCAGTCATAGAAACCACATTTACTCAGATTGGGTCTTGCTTTTATGTGTAATATTATTTTTTATCAACATGTATTAAGTCAATAAATAATCAAAAGCTCCTTCTTATTCCTTCTCTTTTGATGTGAAGGATACATTTCTTTTCCAGCTTGACATTTATTTCTGTAAATGGCTTCATGGATGTATTTTCCCTAAAATTACAGGGTACTCCAGGACCAATTGGAGTTTCAGGGCCAGCAGGACCAAAAGGAGAGAGGGTGAGGAAATGTTGACTGATGCAGTTCATATGCAATGGCTACTTTTTCTCAAATATAGCCTTTTTTGTTGATGTATAGTCTAATACAGGGGCCCTCAAATTATGGTCTGAGGGCCGAATACAGCCCTCCAAGGTCCTTTACCCAGCCCTCACTCAGGGTCAACCTGTCTGAAACGACTTGAAAGCACACAACAACAGCAATCCTATCTCATCAGCCAAAAGCAGGCCCACACTTCCCACTGAAATACTAATAAGTTTATATTTGTTAAAATTGTTCTTCATTTTATTGTTTTAAAGTGTTTTTGCACTACAAATAAGATATGTGTAGTGCACATAGGAATTCATTCATGCTTTTTTCAAATTATAATCCGGCCCTCCAACAGTTTGTGGGACTGTGACCTGGCCCTCCATTTAAAAAGTTTGAGGACCCCTGGTCTAATGCCTTCAATGTATATTTTTGCCACTTTAAAAATCTAATTTATTTTATAGTATGATCTTCATGTCAACATTTTTGTCACTTAACATAGCTTCACTTGTCTGAAGGAAACTTTTCATAGGGTGAGAGTGGAAGTATGCTTGCTCCAATAATGCTGATGACTCCCATACTGGGGAATCCAATACAGGTTTTAACCTGGATTGTAAAAGAACTGCCCAAAGTCCTGTACCTCAATATTGGTGACTCATTGAAAGTTGAGGTTGAAACCCTGGGTAGATCCACCACACTCACATGGAAGTTGCCATTGCTCCAATCCCATGTTAACTTGAGAAGGCATTGTGTCCATCTGTATGAAATCACAGGGATATGTAGGGCAGAGATCTGGAGTTCAGTGTCACACCCAGCTCTGTCTGTTTCTTATCACATGCTAGAACCATAGTTGAAATTCTTAACGAATGTATTTATTTATTTTTTATTTATTTATTTACTATATTTGTATACTCCCCCTCTCATCCCAGTGGCAGTAGTGAGAAGATGCAGGTTAACTAAGTTGAATTTAAATATAAAATGTTTAATACAAGAAAGCCAGTGTAGATGAAAGAGTAGTCTGTGCTAAGAGAGACTGCACCAACTTTGAGAATTTGCTTTATATTTTAGAAATTCCTTCAAGTTTTACTCCAGATGCTCATATGGTGGGACGGTTTAGGCCAGAGGTTATTGGAGTACTACAATGAGATTGCCTTTTAAAAGTGGCTAGAAGCTCTTTTCTGTTCAAAACTGGAATTCATATTGGTAGCATCTGAACCCACAAGTTTCACTTGCTTTCTGTTCAAAGCACTGGTTATGACTAGCTAATAGTGGTTATGTCAACTAATTCAAAGTGCTGGTAGACTGAAAACTTTGCCTAGGTAGATTATATTTGGATGATTACCTGGATGATAAGCTTGCCTACAATAAACGGCCTGCATGGTGAAGTGCAGGGGTCCTCAAACTACGGCCCAGGGGTCGGATACGGCCCTCCAAGGTCATTTACCTGGCCCTCGCTCAGGGTCAACCTAAGTCTAAAACAACTTGAAAGCACACAACAACAACAACAATCCTATCTCATCAGCCAAAAGCAGGCCCACACTTCCAATTGAAATACTAATAAGTTTATATTTGTTAAAATTGTTCTTCATTTTTTTTTTTTTTAAAGTTTTTTTGTACTTAATAAGTTTATATTTGTTTAAAATTGTTCTTCATTTTAATTATTGTATTGTTTTAAGTGTTTTTTTGCACTACAAATAAGATATGTGCAGTGTGCATAGGAATTCATTTTTTTTTTTCAAATTATAATCCGGCCCTCCAACAGTTTGAGGGACTGTGACCTGGCCCTCTGTTTAAAAAGTTTGAGGACCCCTGGTGTAGTGGTTCGAGCACTGGACTACAACACTAGAACCAGAATTTGATTCCCTGCTTAGCCATAAAGACTCACTGGATGGCCTTATTCAAGTCACACACTTTCAGTCTTAGAAAACCCAGTGATTGATAGGTCCCTCTAGCCTTGCCATAAGTCGGCAATGACTTGAAAGCACACAACAACATTTGGTTGGGGAAAGGGCCTCCACTGTTGCTCTCTCCAGACTTTGAAACTCACTATCTAATGATGAGGAAAAGGACTCAAAGGCAAAGTTGTTTATCAAAAGATGCAAGTAAGTGGTTTGGGATCCATTGAAGCATGAATACTTGAGGAATATGACTTCAGGCTCTATGATTAGTTTCTCATGGCCTCAGGATATGGTCAGTGTGATTTGCAAAATAGAGAAGTATACTTGGAGAATGGAAATTCTCTACAGAAGCTGTATATGTTGTATACAGTTGATCTGTGTGGCTACCTTTCCATAGCTTGTTTCTAAAATAAAAAATCCTCTGACTTAGGACTAAAGGCAGAAGGAAGCTTGGTCTATTCTATATTAAGGAGCTTGACTGTGGCATACCCTGTGGATTGGTTTTTTGCCACAGCATTAAGAAGGATTCCCAAGTTAGGAAGGCCTTTCATCTTTAAAAACTGCTATTTTGAATCACAGCCTTCGGTTTCTATTCTGAGTCTTCAGGCTAATTTTTATTCTATTTTATAGTACTAGGGAGTGGTGGTCCTTTTTATTGTTCGTGTTTATTTTTGTCTTTTGTTTATTGCTATTTTTATTACACTATGTCATACTATTTTTGTAAGCTGTCTTGAGCTCTAACAAGGATCAGGAATTTATTTAAGTACAAGAGTCAAATTCAACTTCATAAAACTCATTGGTAGATAATTCTCAAGGATGGTCAGGCTGAAAAGCAAAATGTTAAGACCAAAAATGCCAAATCTCTTCACGTCAAGTCTTAGGAGAGATAGTTTAACTTTTTGGAATGGGAAAACAGAAGATTGGAAACAAGCAAACAATGGTGTAATGGGAAAAGTGTGGAGGGGGAATAGCTTTCAGTGAAATCCCAGGACTGAAGCTTCAGCAGGCTGGGTTTAGCCAGAAGGCAACTCCAATCTGTAAGGAGAGATTTGTGAGTTGTTGGTTTTGTTTTGTTTTGTTTTTTTTTGGGGGGGGGGGTTCAAAATGTAGGACTCAGGTTGTTATTATCAAGCATACAATGTCTGCAATCCAACATCCCTTCAGTGAATCATAAATATCCACATTTGGAAATGCATAACATCAGGACTACACAATTTCTGTACAGAATAGCAATGCTGTAAATAACTGGATGTTGTTGTGCAATGCAGCATTACAATATTCACTGTTCATCTGCAATCCACAACAATTTGTATGCACAACTCCATGTATGTCAGCAGAACATACCTTGACAATAGCAAATAATTCAGTCTTTATGTGTAGCATGATTTACACATGCATATGTCACTAAAAGAATGTCAGCCAACATTGGTTTACTTACAACAGGTCTCTTATTATAATCAGAAATATTTTTTCTTTCTCCATTTCAGGGCAATAAAGGAGATCCTGGAACTGCAGGACCAATAGGGCCAGCAGGGCTTTCTGTAAGTATAAAAACATATTATTCTTTCTTGGGAGTAAAGAGTGGGAGGATGACGCTGAATACACAGCATAAGAAAATATTCAGACCAGCCCTGAAGGGTCAGGTAGAAATATATAGGACAAAGCACAGCTTTGTCAGTTTTACTTTTTTTGTATCAAGCATAAATCAAGGCCAATCCCAGCTAATTATCAGGGGGTTTTTTGTTTTTGTTTTTTTTTGTTTTGTTGTTTTTTTGTCGTGTCAGGAGCGACTTGAGAAACTGCAAGTCGTTTCTGGTGTGAGAGAATTGGCCGTCTGCAAGGACGTTGCCCAGGGGACGCCAGGATGTTTTGATCTTTTACCATCCTTGTGGGAGGCTTCTCTCATGTCCCCGCATGAGGAGCTGGAGCTGGTAGAGGGAGCTCATCCGCCTCTTCCCGGATTCGAACCTGTGACCTGTGGGTCTTCAGTCCTGCCAGCACAGGGGTTTAACCCACTGCGCCACCGGGGGCTCCTATTATCAGTTGAAACAGACTCTTTTCAAACAAGGGTAATCCTTCTAAGACTTCTTTTTAAAAATTAATCCGGTGTTGAATTGGATTATTATATGTTTTTTCAACAAAAGAAACAAATATAAGTGATCAGGCTTCAGAATGCTAAATGAAACTCTCCTGTTTTGTCTGGTGAAAAATTGTGAGTCAAACTTTGTACAACCACTTTGGGTTTTAATGTGAAAATCTCATGTGTGAGGACAAGATCATCTTCAAAACTCTAGTTTCTGCTGAGAAACTTGTTATTCTTTATATCACAATAAGAACAGTTTGCTTACCTGTATTCTTTCAGGGCTCATCGATTGTCCTGAATTGCCCTTCAAAAACAGCCTTTAGACAATGTTGAAAATAAAAGAAAAATGCTTTACTTCGGCATACACAAAGGATAAGCAAATGCAATTGAAAAGTGCAAAAAAAATAAATAAAGCAAGGAAGTCTTAATCCAGACACAAATTAAAGTCTCTTACGAAGTCCCAAACAAAACATCAGCCTTCCATCAGACAACAGACGGTGAACTAAGTCCTTAGCAGCAGACACAAAACAGATTCCGTTGGAGTGAGAACACCAGTATCAGGGTCGTTGTTACCAGCGAAAGCTGAGTACTCCTACCTCTGATTTATAGCCCTGAATTCCTCACACAGGAGTTGGTAGGGCATCTCCCAATTAGCTCAGCGTATTTAGTAGCTATTCTGGCTGAACGCTGTTTGTGCTCTGTCTCTTTTCATCTCTCTAGAAATGTGGGCACTTTCAAACCCTCATCGTCTGATTCTTCTTCTTCCTCCAATTCCTGAGCACTTCCCTACTCCCCTTCCTCTTCCAATGATGAGGAATCCCCGACATCTATGTTCCCATGTGAATGCATCTTGCACTTTTGCAAAGAGGAGCCCCCGGTGGCGCAGTGGGTTAAACCCTTGTGCTGGTAGGACTGAAGACCGACAGGTCGCAGATTCGAATCCGGGGAAAGCACAGATGAGCTCCCTCTATCAGCTCCAGCTCACCATGCGGAGACATGAGAGAAGCCTCCCACAAGGATGGGACATCCTGGTGTCCCCTGGACAACGTCCTAGCAGACGGCCAATTCTTTCACACCAGAAGTGACTTGCATTTCTCAAGTCGCTCCTGACTCGGGAAAAAAAAAACTTTTGCAAGGCCTTGCAAAGACATGCTTGGTAAATTTCTGAGTTCTGTAGCTCCTAAGTAGTAGCCCTGTGATGTATATGGTCGTGCACCAAAGCTGCTCCTCTCAGTTAAGCGTTTTGTTACCTCCACCTTAGAATTAACATCATGGGTTCTCTGCACTCTTCTGTTGAGTGTAAGATTTCCTTAAATATTTTTCTAGTTTAAGTTTTCTTCCCTTGACTTATTTTTTTTATTAAAGAAAGGAAATACAACCCACCATATCTGTAGGGGATACATTCATGGGCTTACTATGGAAATATGATATAATATTGAAACCTATCAAAATGAATGACTTTAGCTGAAAGTTACCATAGAGTCACCCCTTGGAATTTGCTAGGTCCCCCAGAGTTACCTTTATAGTAACTTCTGGCAGAAGCATATCATAGCATTGTCTGGAAGACCTAGAAAATTCCTTAAAAAGACATTTTTTCAGATGTGGATCAGGGAAGCCACAAACACTGATCCCACAGATACAGCTATTCTCATCACAACTTCTGTCCATGACATTTAAGGTTCTTCAAAAGAAATATGTTGTTTTTGAGGTAAAATCTCATTATCAAATGGCCACTTACATAATAAAATTCTGATCTTTATGGTGCCATGGGAGTCTTTCTGAAGGTATGGTTAAAGACAGAAAATAAGCAATTCTGCATAACTGGAAGTGATCTGTAACTTTTAAAAATCGGTATAAATGTTTTATAGGGTTTACCAGGTTCACCAGGGGAAAAGGGACATCGGGTAAGTTTAAATCAATCCTTCTTAGATGTTAATGTATTTAATAAGTGGTGGAATGATTAATTCTTTTGATGACAGAGAAAAGGATAAGATGTTGTCCTGCGGCTTAATGAATTATATAATACAATGATTAATGAGCATATTTTTAAGCATATAGAAACCTGGTTGCAATAACAAGGTTGACATTTGGAACAATTTTCAAGAATAACTTGGTAAATATTGAAGGAATGATATAATACCCTGCTGAGGCAATGACACGATAAATTTTTAATGCTGGTCAGATATGATGAGTGATAACTTGCAATTCAGGAACAATCAATTTTGACATCATGTAATTAATCATTCTACCTCTGATTTTGCTTTGTGCCTTCGTTTTTTAAAAGAAAAAAAGACTTTAAAGAAATTATTCAGATTATTTCAAAAACTTGAGACTTTTTCAGTTGGTTTTAAATGTAATCGGAAGAAAAATATTTGTTGACTAAAACTGAACACAGCTTTGGCTGGGGTTTTCTGAGCTGGTTAGCTGACAGATGAGAACCAGAATAAGAAAACTTTCTGTTTGACTGGTTCACGTCATCAAGAAGAAGAAGAAGGAGAAGGAGAAGGAGAAGGAGAAGGAGAAGGAGAAGGAGAAGGAGAAGAAAAAGAAAAAGAAGAAGAAGAAGAAGAAGAAGAAGAAGAAGAAGAAGAAGAAGAAGTAGTTTATTTTTCTACTCTGCCTCCATCTCCCCGAAGGGACTCAGGGTGGCTTACATGGGGCCCAAGCTAGAATACAATTAAAAACAAAGCAAAAACAATTAAGACAGCATAAAACAACGTAAAACCACATAACAATAATAGCTAGCAACAACAATAACAGCAGACTAATTTTGGAGCGAGGGAGGAAGGACCACTACATGAACTAGTTAAAGGATAAGTGGTTTAGTAAGGTGGATAACAATGTATAATGGCATAGGAAATATCATGGAAACAGAGTAAATTAACAGGATCAGTTCATATAGTATAGGACATCAGATTGAATGACAATTCAAGTCATGATGCAGGTCATTTGTCATAAGAGTCGTCAATCGAAAGCATGACGAAACATCCACGTCTTTAATTCCTTACGGAATGTGGCTAGGGAGGGTGCCAGCCTAATCTTCCTGGGGAGGGAGCCACCACCGAGAATGCCCTCTCTCGTCCCCACCAGCCGTGCCTGAGATGGGGGCAGGAGTAAGAGAAGAGCTTCCCCGGAAGATCTTAAGGACCACGTGGGCTCGTAAGGGAGGAGGCGGTCGTGCAGATAGGCAGGTCCTGAACCGTTTAGAGCTTTATAGGTGATGACTTGCACCTTGTATTGGGACCGGAAACTTATCCGCAGCCAGTGGAGCTGTTTAAACAGGAAGATTGACCGCTCTCTGTAACTTGCTCCAGTTAACAATCTGGCCGCTGACCTTTGCACCAGCTGTAGTTTCCGAACCATCTTCAAGGGCAGCCCTACGTAGAGCACATTACAGTAGTCTAATCTTGAGGTAACTAAGGCATGGACCACCAAGATGAGGCAGATTTGCTCATAAGCTAGTGGCAATAAAGTCCTGGGATAAACTAGGCCTGTCTCAGCTGTGCTTATAACAGAAGAACATCTGAATCAGAATTCATGACGTTATTCTGGAGATGGAGGAATGTGTTGTAGAACTGGAAGAGAGATATAATACAGCCCCCTAAAGCCAGTGCAGCTCAGAAAATATGGTATATGTAGCACACATTTTTTTTGAACAAACCAACTGAAAAGAGTGTCAACACTTCAGATGTGCATCCATGTGGAACTTGCTATTTCAACTGTTTATTCTTCTCCTGTCTGTGTGTTTGGGCGTGTACATGTGTGTTCCTTGCCTCCACAGGTCTACCTTTGTCCCCCTTATCCCTTCCTGCTCTTCTGCCTTTTCTCCTGGGTCCTTCCTCCTCTTCCTGCTGCAACTCACTCTGCATTTTCTCCTGGATTATCCTTCCTCTGTGCCAGCGTTTGATCCTGGGTGACCTCCTTTCCCATCCATTTTTTCCTGCTGACTTAATAGTGCTTAAAAATACTTCAAAAATTATTTCCTTTTAAAAGGATACGTAGCTTGCCTGGTTTATACGTTGTCCTGTAATCCTTATACCAATACTAAATTTTTAAAAACCTTCCAGCAATCCCATCCACATTTGCTACCCATGGGGATTTTGCAAAATGTTTTCCTCTTTGTATGTCACTGACTCTTCTAAAGGGGTTCCAAAAGATTTGAACATGTCTTTTTCCTCATTGAATGTGGGTCTTTGGCTTGAAGTTGGCTTTATTCAGAATGGAATGACCTCAGTGGAGTATCTGACTTTTCAACTTTGTGCAGGATGCAAGCATGTGGCCTATCATTTCTATTTTTATCCTTTTGAAACTCTATTTTAAGAATTTATGTAGGACATAGCACTGCTTTTCTAGTTTTTCCTCAACAAAAATCATGGCAAAACTCAGTTTATTATCAATTGAAATAGGTATTTCTGCCACTCTGTTTTTTAATTATATAGCACTGAAAGGTGTTGGAATTTTTAAAACAGCTTTGCCCTTTCTACTCTGCCATATAATCCAGATTATCAAAGCAGATAATTATTGTTGTATTTGTTATGCTGTTGTTTTATTGATGTGTTGGACCTTGGCCTCTTGTAAGCCACACAAGTCCTTCAGGAGATGTTAGCAGGGTATAAATAAAGTTAATAATAATAAGTTAATAATAATCCACATTATCTGCTTTGAATTGGATTATATGAGTCTACACTGCCAGATAATCAAAGTAGGGGTTTTTTCCATGTCAGAAGAAGCAACTTGAGAAACTGCAAGTTGCTTCTCGTTTGAGAGAATTGGCCGTTTGCAAGGACGTTGCCCGGGGGACGTGGCTAGCATTTTGGCCTGGGACTGTGAGATCCTATTTCTAGACTCTACTCCAGGGGTCCTCAAACTTTTTAAAAAGAGGGCCAGGTCACAGTCCCTCAAACTGTTGGAGGGCCAGATTATAATTTGAAAAAAGCAGGAATGAATTCCTTTGCACACTGCACATATCTTATTTGTAGTGCAAAAAAACACTTTAAAACAATACAATAATTAAAATGAAGAACAATTTTAACAACTATAATCTTATTAGTATTTCAATGTGAAATGTGGGCCTGCTTTTGGCTGATGAGATAGGATTGTTGTTGTTGTTGTTGTGTACTTTCAAGTCCTTTCAGACTTAGGGTGACCTTGAGTGAGGGCCGGGTAAATGACCTTGGAGGGCCGTATCCGGCCCGCGGGCCTTAGTTTGAGGGCCCCTGCTCTACTCAGTCATGAAACACACTGAGCAACTTCAACCAGTCATTCTCTTTCGACCTAAACTACTTTGGAGATTAAGAGGTGAGGATAGATTGTGTATGCTATAGGGAGCTCATGGAAGAAAAGGAGGGATTAAAATGTAACAAATAAAAAGATTTATTTAATCAGCTTTACTACTTATTAGAAGGGCACAGATCTGGGACAGCTCAGTTTAAAAAGGAGGCTGGATCACACCACATCACTATATCGGTTCTATAATAAAGGCTCTAGGTTGTTGTAGATTTTTCTGGGCTATATAGCCATGTTCTGGAGGCATTTTCTCCTGATGTTTCGCCTGCATCTATGGCAAGCATCCTCAGAGGTAGTGAGGTCTGTTGGAAGTAGAAAAATGGGTTTATATATATGTGGAATGACCAGGGTGGGACAAAGGACTCTTGTCTGCTGGAGCTAGGTATGAATGTTTCAACTGACCACCTTGATTAGCATTTAATGGAGACCAAGTATCTGAAGACCAAGTATCCATACTAGCGAAAGGAGGAAATTTTGCTGTAACTGCCACCAGGATCCCAGTAGAAAACATCATTGCCCATTAAATGCTAATCAAGGTGGTCAGTTGAAACATTCACACCTAGCTCCAGCAGACAAAAGTCCTTTGTCCCACCCTGGTTTTTCCACAGATATATAAACCCATTTTTCCTACTTCCACAGACCTCACTACCTCTGAGGATGCTTGCCATAGATGCAGGCGAAATGGCAGGAAAAAATGCCTCCAGAACATGGCTGGAAAAACCTACAACAACCCAGTGATTCCGGCCATGAAAGCCTTCGACAATACATAAAGTCTCTAGCTTGCCACTGAGTGCTTCCCCATTGAGAAATTCTGTGTTTCTCTTGGTGGCTGGAGACATTCTGCAGAACACTATGAGCTATTTAATGACAGACATTTGGAAATGACTTCATTGAAAATGTATTTCCAACTGTCCCAAAGCACTGTGAATACATTCTGTGGTTTATTGGTCACTGCTGATGGCTCCCACCATTTTCTGTAGAAAATTCAGACTAAGATCCTGCATTAGGAAATGTTTTGTGTAGTTTCAACATGGAAGAACTTCAGTAAGTCTCTCATCCTGTAGGATTCATCTTCCTCCTGAAGATTTTTCCGCCCTCAATATGGCAATTTGAAGGCTGGGGAAGAGCAAGAGATGGGTGAAAAGCATCTCTGTGACCATAGCCAGACACATAATGGCAGTGTCATCTTCTGTGACCTTCATTGGACCCCTGGGAGGTCCTGGAAGATGCCTTCAGTGTTGTGCTTCTGAGTCACCTCTCTCTGCTTCCCATCAGCCATGGAATGACCATATCAGGACTGGGGAAGAAGCATGAAAAATGTAGGTCTTCAGTGAGGTCACTGTGCAAGGAAAGTGGTAATTTCCAGTCTCTACAATGACACTGTCCAGGCATGCCTGCTTATGTCATTAATCAATGCCACCTCTCTATTACTGTCTTTTTGGCTCTTGTATGAGGTCAGAATTCTCCACTGATTTTGAGATCAGAAGCCCCAGAGAGATTTGGAACATGTGTGGAAGACATAGTCTTGCCAGTGCAAGCACTTTCAAAACATTTTGGTATCACTGCGGTCATTCCATTAATAATATTTAAAATGTGAGAGCAGAATCTTTTCATTTTTCTAATTTGAGATTTTTAAAAATGGCGAAAACACAAATACATTTCAATGCAAAGAAGCCAAATCTAGACAAAATGCTTTCAAAAATATTTTTGAGTTATCTCGAATCAAGGCTTTCAAGTTCTTATTTTTACGGTGTTATATTTTGTTTTATGTATTTTAATAAACTATTATTCACAGGGGGAAAGGGGCAAGAAAGGCTCTAGAGGGCCTAAAGGGGATAAGGGAGACCAAGGAGCACCTGGATTAGATGCACCCTGTCCATTGGTATGTTGCATTTTATATGAAGTATTACTTTAAGATAATCCACTAGGGGAAAAGAAGGACAACAGACTTCATTACAATAATTGATTGGATTGTGTGCTTTAAAGCACTTGTCTTCATCTACTAAAGTGGAAAACTCAATTAGATTAAGCCCTGGAAACAACTGGACTGTGAAAAAGTAGAAAGCAGCTAAGATCTACTTGAAAAAACAATCCCTTAACACTTCTAGAACAGGTCTTATAACATCTTCCTTAGACCTAAAGCCAATTCATGTGTTTCACTTGATTGCTGACTTGATAACCGATTTATGTGTTGATTATCTCAAATGAAATGTATTGGTTTGAAGGATTTTGTAGAAATATAAAAACTCTGTGAGATGTTGATTTGTAGTGACACATTTACACATACAAGTTATCACCTGACACAGCACTCATCAAGTGAACCTACATGAGTTACAGCACAAGGAAGAATAGAAATGAATGTGCCTTCTTTTCCCCCCTCTTGAGTAAAAGATGTTCAAATATATATTATAGCTCATAATGATGAAAGATACTCAGTTTGTGGCACCTAGTGGGGAAAAAAATCTGGTATTACTCCCCCTCCAAAAAATAAACAGCCCTAAAATATGTTCTTGAGGGACAGTGATTTTCACATATACAAATCAAAATTTGTTCAGTAATCTTTTTAACAATATTCTTCGAAATGTTTTAGATATGTAAAAAATCACTTGAGATTCGTGCACATCTTGGAAGCCCTCAACATTCTTTACTCTCAATTTCTAGAAAGATCTATATTAGGAAATGAACCTAATGAACCTAATGAGGCCTCTGGCCTCCCTCTTGTTAGCTATCCTCTCCTTTGAATTCAGAATTCCAACCGGTCAGCCTGATGTAAAGTTCCCATATCATCAAGGTCAATTTATTATTTATTTATTTACTTTATTTATACACCGCTTTTCTCAGCCCTCAGGCGACTCAAAGCGGTGAACAACATCAATACAAAACATCACGAGACAAGTATAGGGCAATTAAAAACAATTGTAACATAAATCATTAAACATCCGTATAACAATCATTAACGCCTCAACAGTAAAATCAGAATCCAGTCTCATCATCCATTATTAATCTGTTCGTTAATGTCAGCCTGTTTTTTAATTGGCCTGTTAACCTTGATAAATATTACCTTTGTGATGTTAGCTTAACTATCAATCCAGAAAACAGGAAAAGTTGTGTGTTTTTGTAATTTTAGAAGCCATATCAAATTTATTTATTTATTTATTTATTTATTTATTTGCGACATTTATATGTCGCCCTTCTCATCCCGAAGGAGACTCAGAGTGGCTTACAAGTCTTATATACATACCACATACTATATTATTAGCATAGTGCTAATACATCATTCATAATATTAGTATTATATAATATTATATTGTTGCTGGGAAAGGGGCTCTGATGTCACAGGAGACAAGATGGAACTGTCTTCTCGGCTCCCTTCTTTACTGACCCCAGACCTCTGACCAAAATGTTTATATTTAAGTTAATAAATTTTATTGAGCAATCCAGTTTCTTAATTCATTTATGTGTTGTAACAAAACCATCCACCCAACTAATGTCTGCCTCCAGACAACTTACTTTCCCCTTAAATATTTGATCACCCGAAATGAATTTTCCAAAAATTTGGATCTTCCCTCCTCTCTTCAGTTTTTAGAGGGTGTTATTAAGTCATGCATTTTATGATTATTACTTTTTAAAAAGAAGGCTGCAATTATTTGTCATTGTGCCTTAATACACTAGGGATATAAACTGAGTATTCTTGGGTATATCTTTGTTTTACTGAATTTTTCCACCCATAAAATGGATATGATCTGCACTGACAACAGTAATTCTAGCGGTTGATTTCATGAACAGGGACTTCGAGGTTTTAAAGGCGAGAAGGGTGAGCCGGGGTTACCAGGGCTGGACGGGCTGGATGCCCCTTGCCCATTGGTATGGTGTTACCTTCCCTTTCCTGCATGTTTCAGAGTGCTTTTCTTCTCTTGCTATTGCAAAATCCTTCTCAGATCTTCTTCCTTGAAATTGCTTGATGTATAATACCCATAATATCACTTGGAATGAAACTAGTTCCACTGCCATTTTTCTTGCATTGTATAAGGCTGATATTAAATCCTCCAGCTTAGAGAATGTCAAAGTGCTTGCTCATATCTGCTTTTGCTTTACTTTCATCTTTCTTTCATAATATATCTTGCACACATTCTGTTAATACCGGGTTATGTTGCACCTCAGAGTAGATTCACCTTGCTGAAAAACACCAAGCTGCACACAGCCAGAAGTCTTTATGGTTTATTAAAAATAAAAGGTAAAAAGTTCTTAAAAGCAAAGGTTAATGTTCCAAAAGATCAATATAACATAGCACTTGAAGCATAATCCAATAGGCATCAGCAAAGCATGATCCAAGAGAACATGACAAAGTCCTGGAACCATGAACACAAAGACTGCAAGATAATCCAGCCTAGTTTAGACAAGCTCCTTAGGTAAATGCGAAGTTGCTTTGACAAAGATCTGGTCTCAAACACACTGTTTAATACCCTTTGCAAAACATGAAGGTGTTTCTCTGGTCTCTGGCCTCCCGCTGGACACTAGGCTTGGGCGGTTTCGTTCATTAATTTCGTAATTCGTTATTAATTCGTATTTGAATTAGCTTACGATCCAATATTGAGCCATGCAGGAATAGTGTGAGGAGTAATTAAGATTCGAAACAATTTTTTCAATTTATTTCGTAATTATTTCGTAATTATTTCGTAATTATTTTTGCATGTCTGGTGCAAGTTTTATAGTTGTTGTTTGTTTTATCACACCAACAGTCAACAACAGAGGAAGAGGGAAGCTTCAGAAGTTCCTCCTGTCCCATTTGGAGGGTTTTTTTAGCATATTGCGCAATCTCATCCAGCATTAACGAATCGATTCGTAATTTTATGAAATTTCGAAAAATTTTAAAGGAAAATTTCGGAATTACTAAAAAAAACGAAACGCAAGGGCCCCCTAAAAACGAAACGAGTTTAGAACCAAATTTTTCCGTGGTTACCCAAGCCTACTTGTTAGCTATCCTCTCACTCCTTCGAATTCAGAATTCCAATCGGTCAGCCCGATCTAAAGTTCCCATATCATCAAGGCCAATCTGTTCGTTAGTGTCAGCCTGTTTCCCTGCTTGCTCATTATCAGGCTGAGAATCAAGCGAAGAGCTGTCCTCCTTCTCGGAGTCAATCTGCACCTGGCTATTTTCAGTATCAACACTCTCATGTACCTGCAGAAGAATATGAAATTGAATATTTAAAAACCTATACTAAAAAAAATACCAGAGTCAATTAAGTAGCGGAATTCAAAATAGAATAAAATAAACCATCATCACTCTGTGGAATGGAGTGGAAGTTCCCTAAACCCTATTTCCCCCTTCCTATCAGCACTACCCAACCAACCCCTCCCCCCAACCTGGACTACCATCCCCAACACATCACATACCTTCCTATCTCTCCTATTTTCCTTTACTTCCGAGTTGTTCCCACTCTTTTATTGTTACTCTGAAATTGTTGCAAATAAAAATGATTTTTTTAAAAACTGGCCCTGGAAACCTATATGTAGCCAATGTCACATTCTATAATGCTTGAGGCATTCTAACTTCCATCCTGACTATCCTCTGATATAACAAAAACCTAGAGGTTAACATAACATGGATCACAGGCTAGCTCACTGCCTCAACCATCAGTCCAAACTGATAAAAGGCATTCATTTACTTTGGAACCAGATATACCTCAAGCTCTGTACTAGTTCTTTCAGCAATAGATTACACACCAAATTCTTTGACTTGAGTATAACCTGTAGTAGAGATATGGAAGATTTTGTTCTAATTGTGACTTTCAGACAAATTCCACATAGAATATTCCATGTTTTGTTGTTACTATTACTGTAGGAGATAGAGATGTTCATCACACAGACAGAAAAACATTGTGGATACAAACACGCATGCGGATATGTAAATGTTGCAGTTGCCAACAGTGCCAGTGTATTCAAACGTGTATAAATATCCTTCCTGATTGCAAGCATAATTTACCTGCCTTTCTGTTGCTGTAGTTTGTCTACTCTGTGTTCTAAGTATATATGTGCATACTTTTCAAAAATGCTATATCTAATTTCTCCTCCTGATTAATGTGCATGCTCCCGCCTCCCAGCTTTGGCAAGCAAACATATCACTGTGACCATGTCCTTCTGTTGATCCCTGAAATGTAACTTTTCTGCCTATCACATTATCCCTAACCTGGGTTTTACATTCAAACCATTATACAGTTTGTTCCTGCCAAGGGGACCATTGTACCAATGGGAAATTTTCATTAATATAGGTCCTTAGCGCAATACCCCCATGCATATGGGATATAGTGAGCATGGTGATCAGATCATGATATGAATAAACATAACAGTTTAAATAATGTACCAGTAAGGGCTTCTCGCGGACCACCTTGAGAATTTCGGGGGGGGGGAGGGAAGCCCCTCAAGCCTCCCCCCGACTACATGCCTGGTCCTTAGTTGTTGCATTCTATAGATACACTGTATATGTGTATATATATATAGATAGATGCAGATATATACACTACTGGGAAGATGGTATGTCAGAAAATTGTCATTATTAAGGAAAAATCGATTTAGAAAATCTGTGCTTATGTTGGTAACAACTAATCTTTAATTCCCCACCCTCCATACCACTGTATCATCACTTTTCACAAGAGAAGTAATTAAATTGCTCTATTTAGAAGTAAAATAATACACTATGCTGCCCCACAAGCAAGTTCAGTTTAACTCAATCTGAAGTTAATCAACCTGCAGGCTTGGTCATATCTGATCTGTCTATTCTATGAGTTAGTTGTTTGACTACAAAATTGTTTGTAATCCAGTTAGAAATCTAGAAAAAATAATACAGTTTGCATAGATTCAAGCCTACACGCAAACACAATGAATATTTTGAGAGAGATCACAATTTTCCTACCCGTTTCCATTCCAGGACCGGTAAAATTCGGTTTCTCCAAAAAAGAAGGCTTATCTTTGAGGGGCAGGGGGAGAGAGACTGGTTATAGCCCATTTAAACTATAAGCCATCTTATATGTGGAAATATGTGGCAAAACAACTATAAATTTTAATACATCTAGATGTCAGTTGCCACACAGATTTCGCAAATGATAGAAAAATGTAAAAATAATACAACTTAAAGTGGTATCCCATTAACAAGGCCCAATATGATTATAGTACATTTCCTCAAAACTACAAATACAGTATTAGTATGGCATAAATATGCTTTCAGCTTCTAGCACATGGGTCATGAGGTGGCTAGCTCACCATATCAGATAGGTTGAAACTATTGGCTTAAAGTAAATGTCATTCCATTTTGACAGATACTTTTCGGATCATATGGGGTTCTCATACATTATGGCAACTCACTTCTATCAATTAATTTAATGCAATCTAGAGCAAGTATGGTGTATTGTATCAGGATAGTTCATCAACTAATGTGAAATTTTGAACTGCATTATTTATCTTCCTCCTTGAAATATTTTGCCTTGATTGCTCTGCATATTTTTCTTTGTGATATTTAAACACCTCTTTCGTTATTGTAGGGGGAAGATGGCTTGCCAATTCAAGGATGCTGGAATAAGGTAATGTAATATTTTAAAGCTTGATAAATGTTTTGTTGCATGTTGTGAATAACAAAAGTAATAGATAAAGTATGAAGGATTTGTAGTGACATATTTCTTTCCCAATTGATAAGCATGTCTTAATAAGTCAAATATGTGAATTATAGCAAGATTACTACAGAGGTAGCTCATCTTTTGTAAATGCAAACAAATCAAACTTATTAGCAACTTGTCATATTGATATCCTAACTTTATAAAGTCTGGAATTAGCATTCATAGCTGTGGACGTCATCACACACACTTTAAAGAGTAGGTATAGAGTGTGCATCCCATTTTAAATCCTCTGGCTGCCTTCTGTAGTATCCTGGGGTTCCTAGTTTAGTGAATCGCAGGACCTCTCTGGCTGAGAATTTTAAAAACCCCTCCTTTAGTTAGGCTTTGAAAATTTTTTAGCATTTACCGTGTTTTCTGGCATATAAGACGACTGGGCGTATAAGACGACCCCCAACTTTTCCAGTTAAAATATAGAGTTTGGGATATACTCGCCATACAAGACTACCCTTCTTCCAACGCACAACAAATAAAAATTTAAAAAGCATCAGATTTGATTTCAATATGGTAATTTTCCTATTACTGTACCTCCTTCTCTGCCTCTCAGATCTCGTACATGCACACCTGCACCGCTTCACTGCAGTCTTCAGGAGCGAGATCTGAGAGGCAGAGGAGGAGGGATGGTAATAGGATACAGGGGTGAGCCAGACAGGTAAAAGAGGTGTTTTTTTGGGCCCAGAGCCACTCTATATCTTTTTTCCATACCCTGGGCGCCCCGGATGCCTGCCGCTTGCTCTGCCCTTCATTTACACCTTCCTGGTGAGGTGCCCCTTCACCTCACCATCGGAACCGCATTAAGTACACGAATCCTGATGAATGGATTTTCTTCGACCAAACTTGTACAATGTCGCCTTTAATGCTTTCATACAGTCACTGCATACGGCAGGGGTGCAGCCACTGCCATTTTTTGAGCTCCTCCCACCATATGCAGCAAGCACAGATTCTCCCATCCAGATTGGAAGTTTCAGCACCCACTCTATAAGACGACTCCCGCTATATATGATGACTCCCAGTGTATAAGATGAGCCTTGACTTTTGAGAAGATTTTCTTGGGTTAAAAAGTAGTCTTATATGCCAGAAAATATGGTAATAACTATCTGTTTTCATAAGTCCTGAATGGCAATAGGCAAATGTCTACTGACAACAAACAAAAGCCAGACATAAAATTCAAATCACATTAATTTCCATGTACATACATCTCTCCTAATAAGATTAATGGGGCTTGTTTTTGTTGAATTTGTATGCCAGATCATAATATATTCCCTATAACTTCCTGCATGTCGAGGCAACAGTATACCTTTATTTTGTCACCTCCCATCAGAAAACCCCTATCCAAAAACTGTGTGATGCTAACATAGTTCTGTATTTTTCTTTTGCAGTGAAAATTCTAACCATGGACTGGCCTGTGTGTGTGTGTCTGTGTGTTTGTGCATAGAATATTTATTTTTATACAATTTTCGTTTTGAAGTGCCAAAAGATAACACGTTTTGCAAATTTTAAAAAGCTGCATATTTTTGTACAGAAAATACTACTTTTCTCCTTTTTTATCTTATTGTCATCCGCTTGTATAGTTATATGTATATTGATACTGTGCTTCTTGCATTGTGGAATACAGCTGCAATATTTGCATGATATTTGTGCTCTCATAGTAAGTGTTACAGCTTAGTAAGTTATTGCATTAAGATGCCAGAAGAAGCCGCTCTGTGTACATATGAAGGCATTTGACAATGAATACAAGAACAGCTTTAAATAATACAGCTTTTCATAAGTAAAATGCAACCAAATCTAGTCTTTGTAAATAAATCATATGGTGGTATTTTAAACCAACCAGATAAGAGACATCAGGAATCACTTCACCGTTCTTTTACCTTACTGCCAGCAGAGGGCACTACTAATCCGACATGAATAGGCCCCATCCCTCCCCTCCTTTCGTAAGAGCTTGAAGACCTGGTGGTTTCAACAAGCCTTTGAAAATGACCAGTTCTAACTCAGCCCTACACATTGTCGAATACGGCCTTATTCTTCCTACCAATTACCCAGATCATTTCCTCTAATCAGCCCTGGAATGAACAGCCACAGACCCGTACCTAATATTATTGTTGCCTGCCATAGCATTGCACTTAATTCCCGGGCCTCCTAGAATTTTGGGGCTTGCACAAATCTTGGTCCGGCATTTAAAAAAATTTAAATTACCTTGAACAGGCAGGATTACTTTTAATATATGTGTGTTATGGCGGCAATTTTTTATGCTTATATTTTATTTTGTTATTCTTATGGTTATGTTGTTTTTTACTTTGTATGTTTTGTGATGTTACCTGGGAACCGCTCTGAGTCCCCTCGGGGAGATGGAGGGGTATATAAATAAAAATAATAATAATAATAATAATAATAATAATAATTATTATTATTATTATTATTATAGGAAAACATTCGGAGAGTCACAAAATGAACATGCAGACATCAATTTTGAATTGGTTAAACTCTTCCATGCGGTCCTCTTTAGTGGGAGTAGTCAGTCTCAAGCCCGCAACTAAATTAATCCAAATGGAAGCTCTATTGAATCAGCAAAAACTGCATATAGAGAATAAATAATAATAATAATAATAATAATAATAATAAACTTTATTTATATACCGCCCTATCTCCTCTAGGGGACTCAGAGCAGTTTCCACATATGCAAAATAATACAAAAACATACAATATAAAACAAAAACATAGGCATAAACTGTTAACACAGCATAAACTGTTAAATTAAAATCAATTTAAAACCAGTTCCGCTATCTTCTTTGTGCAAGGTAAGTTGCCAGGGGCCAAGATTTCAATAAGGGGCCTGGACTATTTGGAATGGACTGGGCCAAGGCTAGTGCAAGGAGAAGGGAAAAATGGGGCTGGTTGAATGCTATAGTGCAAGGATCGGTCTCAGCAATGGCCCTACTGGGGGATCGGGGCCACTCAATTCCAGGGCCAATTAAAGGACTATTAAAAAGGTCAGGGCTGGAAGGAAAGGTGCCCAGGGAAGAACTATATGTAGTCCCCCAATAATGCTTCCATCTCCATATGCTAATTATACAAGGGTCTTACGCATCTGGTAAAGCCTACTGTCTGCTTTTTACTCCTGCAATTCCTCATGCATTTTTGCCCAAATATTCATTCTAATTCTTTTTACTACAAATAAAAGTAAAAGAAATTTACTACAGCAAGAATTGCTCAGCATATATCGGTCCCCTAGGAATGTTTCACAACCTGAGCAATTAGTTATACAGCTGAATAGCCCTTATACTTAGGAGATTTAAAGTTATACTTTTAAACAACCACTGGTTCTTGTCCTGACTTCAGTACTTAAACGTAATTCAAAGATCCTAGAATTGAAATGAGGCTACTGATATTTAAAACACACAGCACACAAGAAACCCATATTGAGGATCATTACCGCTAAACAGGAAAGAAATCAGTATCCCAACAAAAGGAGTATTAGATTTTTTGGCATAATTTTCTCTGATCCTTTCTCCCCGGGCTGCTGCTTGGTCTACAGGGGGAACCATATCATCTGGAAGTATTTATTTCCCTTCATCGGGCAGTTAGCAGCTTCAAGAGAAGGACTAATTTGATAAATAACAGAGAGAAAAGACATTAGCACTCCCTCAGACTATAGTTTCTCGTCTGATAAATGGTTACTAGACCCATTTAAAAAGAAAAGAAAATGTCATCATTTGCACTATATCCAGTGCCCTAAAACAACTTGCCATTTTCCTGGATCACTGGAGACAAGCAAGGTGAGATGGGAAATCATGGCCTAAGTCAAATTACTCCCAACTAGAGTACACCCAGTGATTCAAAGCAATGCACTGAAGTGTTGATTTACCAGATTCCCAATGATTCAATGGGAACTAGCAATTGTTCACCTTAACTTTTCATACTGTCCCTAATGATCAGGGTGAATGGTTAACTATTCCATTACTTGTTGTAGAAGTACAGGGTGAGGCAGCATAACTTCCTTTTTTAAAATGCGCGCCATTCAGTCAGTTGAAGATGTAGCAGAGCGCTAGTGGTCTTGTTTGAGAGGCGGGAGTATAAAGTTTTGTCCTGACACAGTTCAGTCGCCATCATGTGTTGGAACACTGAGGACCGTGCTTTTGCCGTTGAGGCCTACTTTTCGAGCGGATTTGGAGTGGCCGGCCCGCTCTCCAGATTTGGCCCCTTGTGATTTTTTTCTTTTTGAAGACCAACATCCAGGAAGAAATTGCCAACATAACGCCTGCTATGCTGGCAAGACTCATGACAAATGCCAGAAATAAGTTTACTCAGTGTATGGAGAATGCGGGACGTCACCTACCTAATTTGATCTTCAAAACTACGTAAAACAAAACTTTATGTATGCGCCTACATTATAAAAAAAAATAAAAATGTCTGATTCATACAATGGGTTTTATTAAGTTTTGAAAAAAGGAAGTTATGCTGCTTCACCCTGTAGTTTTATATGATAGATTTCAGCCTGGTGAAGATTATTAGCATATCTACAATAACTTTTCAGCCAACATTTTACAGAAGTCCGAATTTCTACTACATCTCACAAAGTGTCCTTCTAGATCAGTGGTTCTCAACCTCTGGGTCCCCAGGTGTTTTGGCTACAACTCTCAGAAATCCCAGCCAGAAATCCCAGCTGTTAGGATTTCTGGGAATTGAAGGCCAAAACATCTGGGAACGCACAGGTTGAGAACCACTGATGTAGATAATAACCAGGTATGACTTAAAAATCCATTTCACTGCTTAAACACAGGATGTAGCTATACTACACTTTTACAATGCTACCTTTCTGATTAGAGCATTGGTTCTCAACCTGTCGGTCCTGAGGTGTTTTGGCCTACAACTCCCAGAAATCCCAGCTAGTTTACCAGCAGTTCGGATTTCTGGGAGTTGAAGGCCAAAACATCTGGGGACCCACAGGTTGAGAACCACTGGATTAAAGCAAATGATTGTGAGTAGCCTTAAACATACTTCCTGCAATACAGGTTTATTAATGACATGTGTTGTGATTTACTCCCATCATTTCAGGAAACCAGAAAGAATATGGTCAAAAATACTTACTTTTTGTGTAATCTCAAGATTATAGCTCCAGCTAGAATAGATCAAAGTGGACACATGCTGTAATATATATTATCAGGAGCAGAGATTTTCAATAATTATAGGAAAGTAGCATACAAGGACAATTCTCTGTTTTCCCAATTACAGCTACAAACGCAGCTGTTATTGCACTCAGTTAAGTCAGGGAGAATAAAGGCTTCCATCTTCCCAGTAAGCTTAGGCAAAAGGAAACAGCTTGCATGTTCTTTCTCATTAAAAACGTTTGCAATCTTGACCCTGCTGTGTCATTGCTTGACAACATGTGTCCCAATTTGTACCTGTGAAATGTTGGAGGGTATGGAGGAGCAAGGCTTCCATGAGAATCTGAAAGCACATTTCAGCATGAAATAATTTGTCTGTTGCTTAAAGGGTCAAACACCTTGGCTGATAGCTAAATAATGAAACAAGTAAGAGGGTGGAGATACTTGTGGAAGGCCTACAGTGGCAAGAGAAGAACATCCTGTCTGAAGGTTTGCTGAAGATATTCAACAACTTACCTCCGAGGAACACGGAAGTATTCTTGAGCCATGCGTGCCAGAGTTTTGTTCCTGTATGGTGGGCCTGGTGGGGCTACGGAAGATGGACACACCAGTGGGTTTTGCTCTCTGCTTCCAGAGGTCAGCATGAGTGCCAGCCATGGAACAAATTGGGCTTCAGTGCCGCTCTTACTCTTTTTTTGTCTGCTGTAATAATGGAAGCCTTCGTGTGAAGACTTTTATTCAGCAGCTGGTGTGAAGAGCCTTAGGACATAGACAACAGTTCTATGGTTGTTGCTTTTTTGTTAAAAGGAGCTATATTCTCATCTTTCAAAAAAATAAACTTGAATATTAATTTTGAAAAGCAGCTGATTGAAGATGCAGTAAAACGTTTACCACCTTTCCTGATGATTCCATCCTTGAACCTTTCTTAGCTTCTCTTCAAATGCTACCATTTATTTTCTGCAAGAACATTATAATTTTTTTGTATATTAAAAGAACTAAATTTCATAAATGTTTGGTGTTATAAGACAGCTTTGTTGTTCTTCTCACTGTCAGACTTTACTTGTTCATGTTAGGAATGCTTTGCTATAGGTTTGCCATAAAACATTTTGCTGTCCTCATAAAATATATAATTGGTCTTTTCCTATTTCCCTTATGCTTAAATTTTTAATAGATTGTATAGTTAACACAATGTCAAGATAGGTTTTGGGGAAAATGTACATAGGTTAGCCATGTTCCATTAATACATACGTTGGCTTTGTAGATTTCGATGGTACAATGTTGTTACTGTTGTTATTAGCTCTGCAATATTCATTTGAATGTTTAAAGAAAGCTAAAGTTGATGCAACATAATCCCAATAACATGTCCCTTGTGTCTGAAAGTTGTACTGATTCCTGATAATTTCACATATATTACCCCTGAAAAAATGTTTCCAGTATAAAAATATATCCCTGAAGCGAAGACACATGTCAAGAACTACTTTGTGTCTCTGCAATTTATATGATCCTCTCCCCACTTCCACCTCATGTTATTTTAATTGTTCTTTAACAGACCCAGGGCTTTCAACCACTCTAACCGCTCCTTGCATCCAAAAGGTTTCAGTCCACACGATGCTTATACATGCAGAGCAATCTTTTACAAAGGTGTAGACGAGCATTTCCAATCAATTTTTAATAGTAAATTCATAACATAATAGAAATTATTTTTATTTAACCTTTGGAGCCTACCTTTTTTCCCTATGAACTGTACATAGAAGCCAGTGTCACCTCTCCCTTTTTCCTCAAGTCTACAACCTCTTTGAAGGTTGTACAATCTAATAAGTAGTGGACGAAACAGTGTACAGATCTTCAGATGACAAATATTTTGTTCTAAGTGAATGGAAGAATAAGTTTTCTTCACTGACGTAACGTATCATATTTTGTATAAACAGAACAGAACAATTTTTATTGATTAGCCAGTTGGCCTTATCAAAAACAGACATACAACATACATCTAGTCCTCTTAAAATAAAATATGAATATACCAGTATTTGTCAGCTTGAAACCAATGTATAAACAGCAAAGCCTGAACTTTCAGAAAATAAATAGTTTAGACTAGCTGTTGAAAATTTTAAGTGCTACTGGATATCCTTTACATTATTAAATAGTTTCTTTCAAGGTTTTATCATAAATAAGTCAGAGGTCTTGCAGAATAGTTGCTTTTGAGGCTTATGAAACACTCATAACAATGAAACTACATTTCTAAAGATACTGGCACAGAATGGAGTTGTATTTGTTACCTACTGGCTGACTCCTGCTTTTGACAATTCTATTGCTGAGCAAGTGTAACTTGCTCAAGATCAGAGCATGAAAGAGAAAGTCTTTTCACATAATGACTCTGACAGAACTGAATATTTTTAGGGTCAGAGAGACAATGTTCTCACAAGAAAAAAACATGAAAAGTTGGGACAATTGATGTCAAAATACAGATTTAGATTGTTGCTATACATGTTGATATGGAATGACATTTTTTTTACATATTGAGATTGTTGTAGAGATTTTTTTCTGTAGAAATCAGAATGTGATCAGAACTGCAGGCAGTGTGCCTTTTTTTAATTATTAAAAGACTATATATATTATATATTAGTTTATTGATGTTAATTTAACCACAACCCACCCTTTTATTGCTGTTTTAATATTACGCTTCATTTGGTTTTCGGAGAGTAAAGAAGTCGCTATTGTTCCTAACCCCCTAATTTGTGGGATAGAGTCATCACTCTCAAATACAGTATCTACCTTTTTTCTCCCTTTGATAGCTCACACACACACACACCCAAAGCCCCCATCTATCCACCCCAGTAAGACTACTCTGGGGACCAAAAAAACTGTGGACTCTCTCAATGCAAGGGTTCCAATCAAGATCTGGCAAAATAGAGTTAAATCATTATTGTGAATAGGGGCACACATCAAAATTAATGCAGTGCAGATAGATTATTATTATTATTATTATTATTATTATTAACTTTATTTGTAGCCCATTAGCATCTCCTGAAGGACTCGATGCAGCTTACAAAGGCCAAGGCCACAACAAAACAACAATATAACAATTACATATAAACCAAAAGCAAATCAAAAACATTATAAGCAATATCAGTAAACAATAAAACAGCATACCGTGATACAATAAAATGCCAGGACCCAGTGGTCATACTTACCCTCTTTTGGGTTGCAGCCTCCTCTCACTTGTGCATTTGTGGGAAAATTACTCCAAAGATTTTAGAAATCCTCTGTAACAGTTTTTGATGCCATGGAAGCAAGTGGGGGATAGCACCCAAGTCCACTGTTAGATATTGCAGTATAGTCAGCCCTCCGAGGATTAGGGGACAAGGCTCCTGGAAACTGAATACATAACCCAATTGGAAGACCTACTTAGAGAGGTGTTCTCTCCGGAAATCTCTAGGTCGTTCAGCATGACTGGAGGAAGTTGACCATAAAGTCACGCTGGAGGGCCTAGGGATTCTTAGAAAGAACATTGTAAACCTGAACCGTGAAAAATCAAATCTGCAAAAGTCAAAACCACAAATGTGGAGGGACAGCTACACACGATTGTCTCTCAGACAGATGGTACAAGCACATAAACATGCATCCAAATATATATGCCATCTATCTGCACTATATATCACTTGCACCTCTGTATGCTTCCAGTCGCGTGTTCCTATCTATATTCTTGTGCTGCCAATTATGCATAATTATGCATAACAAGAGCTAGTTTGGGTAATAATAATAATAAACTTTATTTATTTATACAATGGGGACTTGGGGCAGCTTACATAAGGCCAGGCCCAAACAGCAAATTACAATAGAATAAAAACCAAAACACATGTAACAACACAGTAGAATACATAAAACATATGAATACAATAAACAATATACAAGTACAATATCCACAATCACAATGGCAATGAGCGGGCCGCATGTGTAAAATAAAATACTAAAACTCAGGATGAGATAAAAGAGGAGCAGATAAAAATGGTCTTTCTCAACAGTGATAGCCATTTACACAAGTAAAATTATTTGGGGACCAGGAGTGAAAGCCAAACTGATGTCTTTGACACCAGATAATTTTTCTACAAGAAAATTATTCTAGACATTTGTAGACTTCTTTTGAATAAGGCACTGGTGGATGAACAGGGAGAGAATATTGCTTTCACCTTTGCATTCTGCTTGTGAAATTCTAAGGTAGTTGACTGATTTCTGGCAGAAATAGAATCTTCGACTAGGAGAATTCTGCAAAGCAATGCTTTATGAAATTATGGAGCCACTCATATAGCGTTGATCATGGAACTATTAGAAAAAAATAGACATATCTAGGATTTTAATTTCATCCTTAGAGCATTTTGGTTGCTTACGTATTTATGTTGACACCAAGTTTTTAACATGTAAACACCATCCTAGTTTTATAATTTGGAATTGGACAAGGAGTTGTGGCTTCATGCATTCATCTACTTTTTATTTTTATTATATAGTTACTATATTAGATATTTTAAAGATTTTAGACAGTCATAAGGAAGTGGTTGTAAATCTATAACTGCCTACATCCCTCAGATACAGAGTTTCTAGACAGATACGGTGAGGAGTATAGAATTCCATTTAGATATAATTCCATTTTTTTTCAGAGACACATCTCAACACTATCGTCCAAGACAGGGGTCCTCAAACTATGGCCCGTGGGCCGAATACAGCCCTCCAAGGTCATTTACCTGGCACACACTCAGGGTCAACTTAAGTCTGAAATGACTTGAAAGCACACAACAACAGCAACAATCCTATCTCATCAGCCAAAAGCAGGCCCACACTTCCCATTGAAATACTAATAAGTTTATATTTGTTAAAATTGTTCTTCATTTTATTATTTTAAAGTTTTTTTTGCACTACAAATGAGATATGTGCAGGGTGCATAGGAATTCATTCATTTTCTTCAAATTATAATCTGGCCCATGCTGCAGATACAATAACATCTGCACCATGCTGCAGATACAGTAATAATAATAATAATAATAATAATAATAATAATAATAATAAATTTAAAAATAATAAAATAATAATCTGGCCCTCCAACAGTTTGAGAGATTGTGACCTGGCCCTCTATTTTAAAAGTTTGAGGATCCCTGGTCTAAGAAAATGGCCATTATTTCTAAAATAAGTCTTGCAACTTTTTTTCATATAGCAATCCTATATTAGCAAATCTTTCCCTCATTGGAATATACCTTCTGAATGTTCCTCAACAGCAACAAAAACAATATTTATATTTTTTTCATGAACCCCGCCACTCACACATATACCCATAAACACAAAGACATATATAACATATATAGGTGTTAATATTAATGAACCACAAATCAACTTAATCTATACTATATGTTAAAGAAAATATAAGGATAGCAAAAAACAAAATAAGGCAGCAAACAGGGCTTAGCCTTCAACTCCCCAGCTAAAGGTATGTCTCCTTAAACCTACTTCAGTAGAACCTATATCATTCTTAATATCTGTCAAACTAGATAACCTATGTAAATTTCTTCTTAAAATGATGTCTAGAATTCTAAATATTTCAGACAGAGGCAAACCAAATTTGCTTTATTCAATTATTTTCCAAAATTTGCCACTCATAGGACTTTTATATCTTATACTAAAAGACTATATAAAAATAATGGAACTAAATTCTGATTTTTCTTCAGTTGGTCAAACTTTTATATACGGTGCTATAAAACCCACATATTTTACAGCTCTCAATTCCAGTATAACTGCATCATAAAGCAGCACTAGCAATTACTTTTCTTCTTCTTATCAGTCTTTAGATTCAGGTCTATAATCTACAAGAGTGCATTTGTCCTGAAATAACATTCTCTGTGCAAAAGAGTGTACCTAGCATACTTGCTATGGGTGAAAGCACATTAAAATAACTTGAAGGAACTCTGCCAGGCATTAGATGCAAAAAAAATGTGATTCAAAATAAAGGTTTATGGAATTATCAAC